GAGTGGATACCCATTCAATCGCCATTTTATAGGCAATTTCCTTAAACACCCCTTATAGACTAGTTTCGTGAATGAGGCCTACTAACGGTAAGACTGACTTTTTAGTTATACATATATAATATTAAACTTTTAATGTTATATATAGTATAAGGGTGTATTTTACACTTTTAAAATACTAGGTGGTTTAAATTATACTTTTAATTAACCAAAATCATTATGGATTTATTAAATCTCTTTTAATTATACACTTAATTAATTTAATAAAACCATAAGGGTTTAATTTGAACTTTTCAAAATCAGGGTTTTGGAATTTAGACTTTCAAAATTAACTTTTAATCAACAATTTAAATTCCAAAACTTGAGGGCAAGTTTTGAAACTCTTCAAAACAATTAGGTTTTAATCTCACTTAAAATTTTCGAATTTAAGACATTTAAATTAAAATTTTAAATATTAAAACTCTTGATTTAATAATTACCATAAATTAAACAATTAATTTAAATTATTAAATCACAAGGGATTATCTAGATCATGAGGATAATTACCAATTATACATCTAAGATATCCTAATCCCTTGAATCCCTCTCTAAATCTCGAAAATAAGGGATGGGATAATTCAAGATCTTTAATTACCATATTTAACAATTAAAAGATAATTACAAGATATGGGATTATCCAAATCCCTAAAATTTAGGATCTAACCTTGGGGAAGGAGGTAATTTCGAAATCCAAGGGTTGGATAACCCTAGATTTCAAAATCTTGGAGGCTAAGGAAAGGATTTGGGAAACCCTAGCAAAAATCGCCATCTAGGGTTTTGCAACCCTAATTGCGAAAATTACCTAGCCTTTAGGGTTTATTAGCCATAAACCCTAATATGTCAAGTTCACAAATTTGAATAAAAGCTAATTGAAAACAAAAACCAATGGCTCTGATACCACTGATGGGTTTTATACAAACAATCCTATGTGTGCATGCAACCCTAGTATTGGATCTATGTTTTCACTATTAGTTATACAACTTTATGAACACAAAAAGAAACCTGGCATGCTACTATAATTTTCGAAATTCATATATAAAGCTAGAATACATACCTTTTGTTGTTATATAGCAATAACAACTAGTTCCTTGAATTTCCTTAGCTCTTGAAAGCAAGTACCACAAGTGTAGTACCTCTAATGGAGTCACAAACACCATATGCAACTTGGATGAAGAGGAGAAGAAAAGGAGGCACCAAAAACGGCTGGAAACCCTAATGGAAGTGTTGTCCACGTTTTTGGAGCCTAAGGGGTCCTTTATATACTGTGTGGGCTGCTAGGGTTTCAGTCAAAACCCTAATGGACAGCTTAAACTCTAAGCAGCCCATGGAACCTTCTGGATAAGGCTATGGACGAAAATATGATGGGCTTCCTTCATAATTTCGTTCACCCCTTACTCCTTTAGCATTCCTTAGCCCAATAACTCAATTATCTAATAATTGCAGTCCAGTCCCCTAAGTTTAATTAATCTCTTTTAGCCACAAAATTAATTATCAATTAATTCTTGACTAATATTAATTAAACAATATGATTTCTCCTGTAATATATTATTCTCATAATATATTAATAAATCATATTTAAACCTTTCTCTCCTTAAATCATCCTACATATTGCTATGGTGAAGGCAACTCAAAAGGACCATGCTCATAATCGGGTCAAGTACATACCAAAATAGTTATGGACTTAGACACTAATCCAACAGGTTTGCCATGTGCTGAGGGATCAGGTGGCATAGATGGGTCTCGAGCCTCTATCTCTTCATCAAAATGATCAATATGCATAATATCATATTTCGTTACATTGTGGGTTTTAGCAGGAATCAAGTAGAAAGGAATATGTTCCAAAAAAGTGACATGTCGGGAAACATATAACTTCTGACTCACAGGATCATAGCAACAATATCATTTCTGTCCAACACCATACCCCAAAAATACATAAATAGCATATTTCGGCCCCAACTTGTTCGTCTCAACATCAGGGCGAAGAAGAAAACAAGTACATCCAAAAACTCGTAAGGAAGAATAGTCTGGTAGATAACCATATAGCTTCTTAAAAGGAGACATTCCTAAATTCAATGAAGTATGGATATGATTAATCACATAAACAGTAGTTAGGACTGCTTCTCCCCAAAATGGCACTAGGGACCTGCACAGACAAGAGTAATGAGCGGGCAGTCTCAACATTATGACAGTGTTTTCGTTCTGCCACATCGTTTTGTTTAGGAGTGTTAGTACATGATGAATGGTGTAAGGTACCATCAGAAGCAAGTAACTGAGTAAAATCATTAGAGGTATATTCACCCCTTAAGTCATACCTGAAGCACTTAATCACAGTTGAATGTTGAGTTTTAATAAGAGCTCTAAATTTTTTGTAAATACCAATGAAATCAGATCTGCGTTTCATAACTGACTGATTGAGGCAATATTCAAAGTAAGTTTGGGAATGTAATAAAGATCAGGAAGAGTGATATGAGAAATAGAGACATGCTCAACACCCTCAACTAGCATAGATGTGTCACTAGCAGAGATAACATAAATAGATGACACATGTGACAAAGAAGTACATGATGAAAAATTAGGAGTCATGTGATGGGTTTCACCAGAATCTAAAATCCACAAAGATGAGGGAATACCTGATGTATCGGATGAAGTAGGACCATAATGAGACATGGATGCAGACATAACAATGGGATTAGAGGCCAAACATTGTCTGAAACTCTCAAAAACCTTGGGGTACAATGCAGATGGTGGCATGTTTCCAACAGATTTTGTGTCAACTGGTGGCGTAGCAGGAACAACAAATTGTAGAGGACGAGGTGTTCATGGAGGAGTACTAGAGGAACATGTCTGAAACTTTTGTTGACCAGACCTATTTTGTTGTCCCAACTAAGGCTGACCAGATTTACCCTTGTTGACTAATAATGGACACTAATCTTTTCAATGATTTTTCTGTTTGCAGAATGCACACTCATCATAAGTAACCCTTGAAGTTTGTCGAGACTGATTAGAGGAAACAACAAGCACAGCAGGAGTGGAAGTAGGAATGGAGGTTGTTTTAAACCCTTTGTCCGCGTGAGACTTGATACACGTCTCTTGAACAATCAACTCATGAACAACATAATTCACTAAGGGAAGGGGAGAGCGATGAAGAATCGTTCCTCGTAGGCCTTCAAAATTAGAACGCAAGGCCATCAAGAACTGGATGAAACGTTGTTCTTCCCTCATAGCAATGTAAGGCTCAAAATCTTTTAACTCTTTAGATTCAGTGAGAGCCAATTGATCCCACAAATCAGACATATCAACATAGAAATCTTGAATGCTCTAGTTATTTTGTTGAAGAGCACGAATATCATATTCTAACTGGTATTGTTTAGCAAAATTGGACTGAGTATATAGTCTCTCCAAGTGATTCCAAACTTCCTTTGTTGTGTCATATTTAGCCAACTGCATACCAATAAACTAAGTAACAAAATTATTAATCCAAGTAATGACCTTGGAGTTATCAGTCTCCCAAGAATCAACCAATAAATCAAAATTCTCAGCTTGAGGTACTAAGGGTTTGGCTTTAGTCCCAGTGATATAGCCCCACATATTCTTCCCACGAAGGAAGCTCTTCATAACGTAACTCCAATATGTGTAATTCTTCCATCCAAACGAGTACTGATTGACTGAAGGGAATCATCCTTTCTAGTAATGTTGACAATGAATAAATAACCACAATAACAATATAACAATTTGAGAATGAGAGGAGTAACAAACCAGCGGAAGCAATCAATCGGACAACAAGAAATCGAACACCAACAACGAATCAACAGAAACAACAAACAAATACTATCAAGCAGACGAAATTCACCAACGAAGAAACATCAACAGTTTGAGCAAAACTTCCTTTGAAACTGCTATAGTAAACCTAGAAAATTTCAATCTGCACCACCGATGACTGCTACAAAAGCTTCTAACAACGTATCAAACCTCCGCTCTGATACCATGATAACATTGCCATATGATTATGATAAAGAAAAATTACAAGGCTTCTCAATGAAAACCATAAAGACTACAAAGAATAAAGGATATAAATTCTAGCTAGACAAAACCCTAATGGGCTAAAGGCTAAAGGACCCATAAACAAGTAGGCTAATAATATATAGGCGAACAGTTTGGTCGTAGATTTCATAAACAAAGTTAGTTGGATTTCTTTGCTCTAAAACATAGTTCTGGTTACTACTTTGTAATTTCTTTTCTAACAACTTGCTAGTTATAATATGAAACTTTTGGCTATTTTGAGAAATATATGAAACCTTTTGCTGTATTTTTGACAAATTATCAAGAAAATTGGCAAAATCACAAACTAATTAAAGACATACAAAACTATATTGGTATATATTTTTATACATGAAGTGAAACTAACCAAAACTTGAACTAGAAATGGTGGAGCAAGTTAGTTTACCCGCTGAAACACCCTTTTGTCGGTACCTCAACCTAAGGAAGGTATAGTTGGATGTACCGCCCTTAGCCGACTCCAAATATGCTTCAACACTATTCAACCTAAGGATGGTAATGGAACCGAGTATATATAAGGGAAAAAAACGATCATACATAGTCATATCAAGTGATAATTTTTAATATTTTATGATTAGTTTATGGCATAAATAGAAAATTTTCACACCGAACCTATTTTCCCTAAATCAAATACAGATAAATCAAATGAAAATGTTGGGCTACTAATTGGGATATATAGAGTAAAGTCCCAATATTTTCATCGATTTGACACGAAAGTCCTAAAATAATCTTTTTTACACTACAATCTTAATTACCGACATTTATTGATAGGATTGACCTTTTTTTACCAGTGTAACTAGTTTACTTGGTGATATGGCACCAAAAGCTTACGTGGACCATTGATTCGTTAAATGAGAGACATATATGGAGTTTTCAACGTCACTTAAGCACCAGACCTTCAATCCTCCATGAACCCTAGCCCCGTATTTTACAAAGGAAAAGATGAGAATGTCATCTTCTTCATCTGTTCCAACAGGGTTGTAAAGAAGGTTCAATCCCCCTCAAAGGACACATTGCGCCTGTGGTGACTCCATTGGAAGGTGGACTTCATGGAAGATAGGAAATCATGGAAGAAGATTCATTGTATGACCAAATTATAGGGTTAGTTGTTAATGTCGAAATTCTTCATCGTTTAGGTTTTTTTTTCTTTCTTTAATCTCGGATTATCCAGGATTCGAGTAAGGATTGCAAATTATTTGATTGGGTGGATCCTCCACTCCCTAATCAGTGGTACAAGGACTTGCTCTTACAATTTCACAATGGGTGGAATGGAGATGTTGTAGAGCAAATGGAAAAAGCAGTAGTAGAAGTTGTTCCAGCTCAAGTGCAAGGTGTAGGTGGTGTTGTTGCAGTGTGTGACAACCCCAAATTTTCATTCGGTCAAATCCTAGAAGTCAAGCACTTCTTATTATGAGTTAATGTCATTATTCCTGATTTTAACAAATTTAGGGTTCGTTTGATTATTTTAATATTATTCTTTAAATGAACGGGTGAGAGAAAGTGTTGTCTTGGGTTTTCAAATTTAAAAACCGCAAACATCTCGTGTCTTAGAAGTTCACCACCAAACTTTTACGTTTGAGTCGGAAAAACTTCCAAAAATCGTGATCTCATGCTTATACATAAGTTTACTCCCCAAGTAATCACTTTACACTTTTCACCCCAAAAGAGTAAACTCCAAAAGAGTAAACTCAAGAAAACCTCTCAAGTAGCAAACTAGAAACAATTCAAGATATTCAAACTTGTAAGTGTTCTATCTATTCCAAGTTGATTAAACACTTAATCTAGTGTTTGTGCATCTATTCATCCATTCACTTTTTTTTTTTTTTTTTGATTAGATTTCCAAAAACACCAAGAACACACACTAAGTGTTCTTGGACTTTTAGCATATTTCAAGCTTCCTTATAGTAAGTACTTCAATCCTTGAATATTATTGAGTTAGTATTACAAGTTAGCAACAAGAAAATATGCCAAGAACACATGGAACAAGGTTTTCACGGTCCAAGAATGTTCTTGGGCCGTAAACACCATATAGGGCACCAAAGTGTGCTTAAGTCATTAATCTAAGCCCTAGTTGGATGTTTAAGCCTTCCTTAACATGTTTGAACCTTCCCTTGATGTGTTTTAGCCTTGAAAAACACCAAATAATGCCATGATCATGTGTTTACGGTTTGGGGAGCTCCCAAAACCGTAAACACCCTTTAGTGTGTTTATTTGGGCCATATTCCTTCCTTAGGCCTAAAAACTAACATAGGCAATTACCTTGATGAGTTAGGGACTTGAAAACATAACAATACCAATCTCCATATGGGTTTAAGGTAGTAAACCCAAAGGGAAATGACCATAAGGCCGTAAACACCTAACAAGGGGTGTTTTGTTGCCCTAGTCCCTTCCAAGGTCCAAACCACCAAGTAGAAATGCTTCGAAGGACTTGTAAAACCTCAAATCATCATATGGTCAAAAGGTTTATAGCTTATGACCGTAAACCCTTGAGTTTACTACCGTAAACTCCTAGGGTAAAGGCCATCAAAACCGTAAACTCCAAAGGAGTTTACCCTTGAACCCCAAACACAATAGCAAGGTCCTTTAGCACTTAGATACAATCCTTATGACTTGTAGCACTTAAATAAGGTGTTTTACATGCCTTAGGATGCCTTAACTTTGTCAATTAGTGGGTTAAAGTCTAATTGAATACATATATGTGTGATTATATGTTATCTAGGATCATTGAGTGTGAACAAGTCTTCACTTGTCACCTAGCTATCCTACATCATTCAGTACATCCAAACCACCATCTACAGGTGAGTTCATACCCCTTAATCAATGTTTTTAAATGATCTTAAATGATTTAATGGGAGGGGGGAGGAATACAAGTAGAAAACAGTATGTTATTAAATCACTCATATGTATTTATAACTGTGTTTTCATCCAGCAGATTTCACATACTTCAAAATGTGATGCATGAAATGGTTTTCTATCTTAAAATACTTTGTTATCAAATGAATTAGTTTTTGAAATGTTATTAAAATGACATCAAGTCATTGTTAATTGTTTTTCAAAACTCTTAGATGTCTTACAAAACCATTTTTACCTCCTATAACAATACTATATCTATACACTTTTGTTCTTATATATGTATTGCTGTATGTTTTCATCCTTCATTCAGTTCCCACACTCTTGTGTAGCAAGGGTGTATAAACCTGCTTGGACAACCAATTACCTTCCAGTTAACTATTATAGGGATAGTTAGAAGATACAAAACATTTTTCCTATTACAAGGAATTACATCAGAGTCAGTTTATTCATGAGTCTATACTATACATTACATGTTACATGAATACACTTACATGAGTACCTTACTTGAATACATTACATGAGTACCTTTACGTAGATACATTTACATGTATACACTTACATGAATACTTGTATCTCGATTCACAAGGATGATTTATTAGTACCTTCTGTGTAAATTGTCCTGCCTATCCTAATTCAACGGGATATCTAGACGGGACTAACCATTCCGAATCCCAACTGTTAGCACCAGTGGTCAATGAACATCTACGGATGCCTACGGTTATTACTTATACTAGGAGTACCTTTACGGGACTAACCATTCCTCAGGCCTACTGTTCGCTACAGAGGTTGATGAACATCTACGGATGCCTATAACTAATACTTATATTAGGAATACTTTTATGGGACTAACCCCTCCTCCCACCTGCTGTAGCTACAGAGGATAATTGAACAATCTACAATTGTTCAAAGGTTATACATTTCGCTAATCGTGATGTCGTGTTAATCCTAGTACAAAAGGATAACAGCTACATGAGTACATTTTCCTATTACTTTATTTTGTGATACATTCACATAAACGATGAGTTAGACTAAGTAGTGTTAGTATTCGTCAAAAGAAAAGGAAAAACTATCATTTTTACTTACAAAAGATTCTGGTCTTGGTAGAAGACTACATTTCATACTAGTAGGAAATAAGGAATTTTCTAGGGTTTTCATACTTATATCAATTGTTTCATTTAAAGGTTTACAAGGCATTCATAACAGCTTTCCAAAACAAGGCAATGACACTTAAATACTTATGAATTCACCAGCTTTAGGCTGATACTCGCTTTCAAAATAACTTGTATTCTCAGGTCAACAATAGACAGGTACGATGGCTAGGTTTTGAGAAGATGGAGCATAGATAAGACTCGTCTTTTATTTTGATTGTATATTTTGGTATCTTATTACATTGAAAGAACACACATGTATTAAAACTTTACTTTTAACGCAATGGATGATGTTGTTGCTTGTTTACTACTTTACACTGTTGTGATACTGTACATGACGTCCTCCACCCCGGAATGTTTCCGCCGTTCTTGGTTTTGTGGTGTGACAGATTGGTATCAGAGCATTGTTTATAGTGGATATAGTATATCAACCCATAAAAGATATAGTAACTATAAATACATTAGGATTAAAACACTTTGTCTAAGAGTTATACTTTTAAATAATAAAATATTGAAGTAAGTATACGTGCCTGCATTCATACTAAAATCAGTGTCACAATGACAAGAACGAAAGTATTACGATTGTTGAATATCACAAGTAAGCCTGGGGATATATGGTCAGTCTTGGGAATGGAATAGCCTAATCAACTATGTTGGTCCAAGGAGTGATTAGCATATGCCCAAGAATGGTTGTGATGTGGCAACAAGTTTAAAAACTTACCAACACAAACATAAAGTAATACCATAGGGGTATTTAGTCTTACTGTAAATATCTTAGTCAGTTCGTCTATTTAGCCATTTCTTATATCCCTTTTCTCGCGTAGATTTTAATGGCTGGAGTTCACCATGGAGACCCGTACTTCCCAAACCAAGGCAACGCTGGATGGCTAGAGGAAGAACCAGAAGATGATCACCAAATCCCTTTGGATGATCACCATGCTGAGGGTTTTTCCGATAATTCAGACTCGGAGACAGTAGTCAACAACCTACCTCTGGCTACTCAAAACCCAAACCTGAACCCCCGTCCTGCATTTCATGGACCCATACCCCTGTGGGCCACAAACTTGAATACATGGAGTCAGGAACAGGGTCAACCTATCCCCTACAATGGAGACAGAAGCTTCTACAACCTCACTGAGGGAGGTTCTGCTGACAGGGTCCTACCCATCATGGTTCGTAGGATTTCTAGGAACACGATACTGGGTCAATCAACTATCAATCGAGTCTTGGAGATTGACGCCAACTCTGGCGTTAACACAGTCCGCATTCTCCAACTAGAGTCTGCTCATGAAAGGACTCTGGTCCGCAACGCAGCTCTGCAGAGGGAACTTGCTGAAACTCAAGCTGAAGTTAGGGAACTTCGAGCTCAGCAAGCAAGAGCTGACAGGGTATGAGGGACATGGAACGTCTACTGTCGGGATCAAGGACTCATGCTAGCATTTCTCGTCGTCGAGAGAATCTCGTCGACTCATCTTTTGGATATAACCTAGTTTATGCAAAAACTTTGGTCTAATTTCCTATCTTTGTAAATCTTAGACCTGTTAGGTCTTGATCTAGTCATAGTTCTGTCAATATTTTCCTATCTTGGTTGATGTAAGGCCTACTTCTAGTCCATTTTTCCTGAACTTGTTACATCTGTAATTCTAGTATTATTGATAGATATCTAATCATATGGAAATTATTATCCAAATGCTATCATCTTCATTTAAGTTATGCTATTCACCGTGTTGTTGGACTATGGGGAATTAGTCCATGAGGCACACTCATTATTCATTTATTCTTATCCATGTCGTCATCTTTTAAATGTATAGTTAAAGATGCCGCCACGCAGGAATCCCAGGCGTAACCCAAATAACGAAACACCGATACCACCAACTCCACCACCACCTCAACCTCCTCAAGCATCATATCCTTTCGATGCCTCTATGTTTCAGGCAGCCTTCACAACAGCAGTAGCAGCTGCTGTGTTAGCCATCAATGCTCCTATCCCTAGTGGATCGGGAACAAGTGCACCTCCCTCAAACCACAACGAAATCCATGGACACCCTCGGGAATGCACCTACAAGGACTTCACGAACGCCAAACCCCGCAGCTTCAACGAAACTGGGGGTGTTATGGTGTTGAGACAATGGATTAAAAAGATGGAATCCGTCTTTGGAATCTATGCTTGCTAGGAGGGCAACAAGGTCAAGTTTGCAGCTTGTACCTTCTTTGACAGAGCACTAACATGGTGGAATGACCATGTTAAGTATCTGACTCTAGTGGTGGCATATTCCATCAACTGGGAACACTTGAAGGACATGCTGATGAGAGAGTACTATCCTCGGGGTGAAATACAAAAACTCGAGCAGGAACTCTGGAGCCTGAAAATGGTTGGATCCGACATAGGAACCTATACAAATAGGTTTTGTGA